GAGAGATCTGAGCGCGGCAGGGGAAGCCGGGCTGGGGAAGCTCTGCGTGCATCTGTCCAACAGGCTCCGTGTGAGGCTGCCGCTCCAGACCCGCTGCCACCCTCGCGCCCCCGACACCCGCGCACCGCATCGGGCCCAGCCGGTGCCCACGGGGCTGCGCGCGAACCGCGTGCACAGGAGCGGCTCGCCGGGCGTGGTGCACCTGCGGCCGCGAGGCCCCGCGGGTTCGGGAGGGCTGGGGCAGCGGGGCGAGGCCGAGCGGGCCGCGCTTACCGTCCGCAGGTTCCTCTTCTTCCGCCTGCGGGCTCGGGTGCACTGCACGAACGCTCGCGTCACAGCCCTGACGGCCAGCCGGTAGCACCGATTCTTCCTCCCCCGGAAGTGCTGGTCAAGAAACGGGAGAGGAGGCGGTCGGCGGGACCCGCGCACGCCGGGCCAGGCCGGGGCGCGGGGCGCACGGCACACTCACCCGCGCGTGCTTCAGCACCTCCTGGACCCGCCAGTAGCGGTCGGTGACGCGGTTCCGCAGCCAGAGCTGCGCCGTGAGGAAGACCATGGCACCCGCAGCCCGCGCCTCTGCTCACCAAGGTGAGCGTCGCACCTCCGCCACCACCGCTCCCCAGCGATTCCGGCTCAGCTCCTCCCTCACCCAGGGGAACTTCCGGGTCTCTGCGCGTGCGTTCTGGGTCCGCGCCTCTATCCCTCTCCTGTGCGCATGCTCGAGCTCAGGGGGCGGTGCCGGGGCTGGGCAGGGCCTAGGCGGTGGAGGAAAGGATCCCGGCCCCGGCACCCCCCAACCCGCGGCCCCGGCCCCGGCACCCCCCAACCCGCGGCCCCGGCCCCCCACCCGCCCCCCCCCCCCCCCCGCCCCCCCTCCCCCGGCAGCTGGAAGGCGGACAGCCGAGAGTGGCGTCCGGCGGAGCGGGGAAGCGCTGCCTCCCACCGAGGGGCCTGGTCCTCTTTACGCCGCGGAGCTGTGCACTTTATTTTTTTAATGAAGTTATTTATTTATTTTGGCTGCACTGGGTCTTTGTTGCGGTGCGTGGGCTTCTCGTTGAGGTGGTTTATCTTGTGGAGCACGGGCTCTAGGCGCGCGGGCTTCAGTAGTTGTGGCTCACAGGCTTCAGTAGCTGTGGCTCGCGGGCTCTAGACCGCAGGCTCAGTAGTTGTGGCGCACGCTCTTAGTTGCTCCCCAGCATGTGGGATCTTCCCGGACCAGGGCTCGACCCTGTGTCCCCTGCATTGGCAGGGGGGGTCTTAACCACTGTGCCACCAAGGAAGCCCTCCGTAAATGTTTATAAGCACATTATTGGGGTTTTCTTCTGGTCCATTTGAAAGGAAGTTGGAGATAGCTAAATACTTCACTGTGTATTTCCTAAGAACAAGGACATTCTCTTACAAATCCCAGCACAAGGATCAAAATCAGGAAATTCAACATTAATGCAATACTGCTGTCTAGTCCACAGTCTGCATTCCAGTGCTGTCACATATTCTTACCGCTTTTTTCCCTGTCCAGGATCATGCACTGCATGGAGTTCTTATGTCTAATTTTCAGTGTTAATCTGGAACAGTCCCTCAGCCTTTCTTTGTCTTTCTTGACCTTGGCATTCTTAAAGAGTACAGGCTACTTACTTTGTAGAGGGCCTCTCAATTTGAGTTTGATGTTTCCTCGTGATTAGAATCAGGTTACATTTGTAGCCGAATATTTCAGAAATTACATTGTGTCCTTCTCGGTGCCTGGCACCAGGAGGCCATGATGGCAGCTTGTCCCAACACGGGTGACGTCAGCTTTGACCATTTGGTTACGGTATTGTTTGCCAGGTTTCTCCACCGCGTTTACGTTTGAACTAATACATAGTTTGTAGTGAAATACTTTGGGAGTCATCACAGGCTCCCCTGTCAGCAGATGTTGAGGTAGGAGCACGTGCGACGGGCCGGGTCCCTGAGGCATCTGCGAACAACACCGGACACCACATTTGGTCTACACTCTGTGAAAGGGAGCCACTGGGGGATTGCGCAGGAGAGTGAATAGGATTATGGCTAAGATTCTGAGAACAGCCCCTTGGGAGTCAAGGGATCAGGCGAGAAGAACAGTTAGGCTGGGGGCTGGACTGGTTACGGCAGCATTCCAGGCAAGGCTGACGGTGGCCTGGACATGGTGGATGCAGCGGGGGAGGTGAGAGGCAGTCGGGCTGTGGGTGTGCTCTGAGGTCGAGCCCGCAGGCTGTGCTGGAGGCTGGCTGGAGGTCCATCCTGCAGTTTTAAAGACCACCCCGGGACTTCCCTGGTGGTCCAGTGGTTCAGACTCCACGCTTCCACTGCAGAGGACTCGGGTTTGATCCCTGGTTGGGGAACTAAGATCCTGCAGGTCCCACAGGCCACTCGGCGCGCCCCCAAAAAACCAAAAACAAAACAAAGAAAACCCACCCTTACCCTGAGGACTCCAGAGATGTCACTCCAGGCCTCATCTTTGCCCCATTCTCGTCTCCTGTGCATCTGCTCTCCCACCCGCCCCTCCACCTCGGGCCCAGGCCCCGCCAGGAGTCGTTGTTATGTCTCCCTTTCCCTGCCCCTCCCCACATCCAACCATCAGCAAGTCCAGAGGGCTGTGCCCACAGAACTGTCCCAATTCTGCCTGTTTCTCCCGCCCCCACTGCTATGCCGCCACCATCTCACTGGTCTCCCGGGTTTCCTCCTCCCAGTTACAGTTCACTCTGCACTTGCAGGCCCCGTGAGCCAGAAAGACCATGTCACGTGAGCTCATGCTCCCCAAAGGCTTCCGTTGTCTTGGGGGTAAAATCCAAGTGCTCCCAGGATCCCCGGACAGAGTTGCTAATTTAGCAAGACGGCTCTCACTTTCAAAAGATGAAATCTGTCCTCTAAAGCTGTTCTTCCAGAAAAACCTAAGGACATTGATTTTCTATGAGGATGCAGGTGTGGACAATCAGAGACAACTGTCACTCTGTATCTGTCGCACTGCAGGGTTTTTAATTTACAGAGATGGCTGAGTGATGACAGGGAGAGGCTAAAGCTACTGAAAGCAGGGTTTTTTTGTGTTTTTTTTTGGCTGCGTCGGGCCTTCGTTGCCGCGCATGGGGCCTCTCTCTAGTTGTGGCGAGCGGGGCCTGCTCTTCGTTGCAGTGCACGGGCCTCTCATTGCGGTGGCTTCTCTTGTTGCGGAGCACGGGCTCTAGGCGCGTGGGTTCAGTAGTTGTGGCGCACGGGCTTCAGTAGTTGTGGCTTGCAGGCTCTAGAGCGCAGCCTCAGTAGTTGTGGCACACGAGCGTAGTTGCTCCGCGGCATGTGGGATCTTCCCAGACCAGGGCTCAAAGCTGTGTCCCCTGCATTGGCAGGCGGATTCCTAACCACTGCACCACCAGGGAAGTTCCTGAAAGCAGGTTTTTATGGCTTACATTTCCTGAGGGGAGGGCACACCACGCCCCACAGGGACACAGGCAGAAACAGCAGTGTCGATCAGGTGGTAAGAGCAGGGGCCCAGGGAAGGCTCAGGCCTTTATTGGGGTTCCTGCGGGAAAGGCAGGGCAGGGCAGGGAAACAGCTTCTGATTGGTTTGTTTGATAATCCAGTGGGCCTTGGTGCACAGAGGCAGGCCTGGCCCTGGGTGACTTCGGGCAGGGGGATGTCAGCTGGGCACGTGAGAGAAGGCAGCCGTTCAGGGCATGGGTCGGGACGGCAGGGGAGAGGAGGACAACTGGCCCTGTCATTAGTGAGTGGGTGCCAAGAGACAAATACTGAGTCTAAGGAAACACAGTAAGAGTGCCGGTGTGCCCGGGGGGAGCACCGAGGCTGACACCCCGATGGGGGACGCACAAACAGGAGCCCATCGGGTTTTGGTCGGTTCTGTGGCCATGACTCAGTCTCTCCGCCAAAGAGCGTGCACAGGGCTGGAGCTACAGGGCTGACGTGGCCCTGGGAGTCTGGAATGGTTCCAGGTCAGCCACACGCTTCTTGCTCGGGCTCCAGCCACTGCTTCCTTCTCCAGGGACCTCTGGGGTGTTCTCCCGTGCACCCTGGCAGGTGGCCTCAGACCAGCAGAGAGGGGCCTGCACACCCTGAAGGCCGTGGGAGCCTGCAGCCTCTGGTCCTGCTCTGGCCCTGCAGCCCTGGGGCCCATGCCAGGTGGCCTCGTGCAGCGGCGTGCGCCCCACGCGGTCTGCAGCTGCGGCCCGGGCCCCGCGCTGCAGCAGGAGACGCACCAGCGGCACGTGGCCGCGCAGCACGGCCAGATGCAGCGGGGTCCTGCCCGCGCGGTCCCTGCGGGGCGGGGAGGGCGGCACCGGCGAGGGCGGGGCACGGGGAAGAGACCTGCTACCTTTGCCCAGGAGGGAACCCTCTCCACCCCGCAGGGGACCGCTGCCTCCATCTCCCACTGAAGGGACACCAGCCACCACACCTACCCCCACCCCCGTGGAGTACCCGGTCCCACCCCTGGGCTCATCTCTCCTCCACACTGCCCCTTGCCGCAGTAGCTGAGTCACCAGGCCAACGTGACCCTTCCGCACGGCCTGCAGCAGGCGCCCCCCAGGCCTGTGGGGCGCTGGGCCCCTCTGTCCCAGCTCCTGGGGCCTCCTCGGAGCCCAGCTCCAACCACCGCACTTCCTGCTCTGCCCCTGCCTCTGTCAGGTCCTGCTCCCGGGGCTCAGAGACCGTAGAGTCCATCTGGAAAGAACAGGAATCCAGCATGGATGCTGGAGGCCCAGGCTGGACCCAGCCCACTGTCCCCAGGCCGACATGGACCCCTTATCTCCCCAGGGGAACCTGGCTACCACTTAGCCTTCTGACGGCCTTGGCTCTCATCTACCCCCAAAGCGAGCCCACCCACGGGCTCTGTCCTCCGTCTGGGGGTCCTCTACATGCCATCCCGGCCCAGCCACAGCCTGGTGGCCCTTTCACGAAACTCCCCCTGAAGGCACAGCGGTGGGGTATCTGCTCCCAGAAGGTGGAAGGCTGGAGCTGCAGTTGTGCGGTGGCGGTGGGGCCTCCCGGGGGCCGGGCTAAGGGCCAGTTCTCCACCTGTTTACCCAGCAACTTAAGGGGGAGGCCCTGCCTGCGGGCCACAGCCCCTGTCCCAGCAGCTGTCAGCCCCTGCCAACTGCCAGGGCCTCTGGCTTGTCCTCCCTCCTGGGAGACAAAGACCAGGCAGGCAGGAACTTGCCCGTGGACCACAGCTCCTCAAGGAGCACAGCCTTTGATGTGCCACGACTCGCCCCCAGGAGACACCCACACACCTTCCCCTGGGTCCCCCGCTCGAGCCCTGCACGCCAGCCCCACTCCTGTCCCTGCTGGCTAAGACCAGGCTGGGGCGGTGGGCAGGGTGAGGTGGGACCCTTCCCCCCAACCCAGATGCCGCCTGAGGACAGAAGATTCTCCAGGGACACCAGGCAGGCAACCTGGACCAAGGGGTGGGATAGGAAGCCCCCTGAGAGGAGACTGAGGCAGGTCTCCAGGGCCTGTGAAGGGGCAGAGCCCCAGGCAGTTGAAGGAGGGAGCCAGGCAGAGGGAGAACTGATCGGAGACGGGCTACATCTGGACGGTGGACGTGGTGCCGCAGGAAGCCCTCAGTAAGGCCTCCAGGTTGGTCACCTTGGCTCTGGGGCCCTGGGGCAGGGTGGGCCGGGGTGGGTGGCAGGCCCTGAAGGTGCCTTCCCATCCCCCAATCCCTGGGTGAGGCCACCCGTCCAGAGCCCAGACGGGAGAATGAAGTGGGGCGGCCTCTGCAGCCTTGTCCCTCCAGCGCCTCTCATGACGGCTCACCAAGAGGCAGCACGGCTTTGGGGTGGTGGCTCCCACCCCAGCCCCTCCCCAGCTTCCGGAGACGGACGAGGTGTCCTCAGGGCCCTGCCCTCCAGAGAGGCAGCCCTTCCAGGTGCCAGATCCAAAGGCTGGGTCTCCAGGCAAGGAGTTGAGAGGCCCCGTCCCACTCCCAAGCCACACGGATCCTACCCCGTACACCACGGTCTGTCCTCTTCTAGAATGAGAGCTTCGTGAGAGCACGTCACACAGGCTGGCAGATCCGTCCCGTAAGGAGCAAGGTGTTCTGGGTGGATGCAGACAGTTTACTGGTTAAGCAGCTGGCAAAAGCCAGAAAAGCAAGGGTGTCAGCCCTCTGCACCCTGTCCCCACAGGATGACCCAGGAAGACGCTGAAAGGAGCAGGGCCAGATGACAGGGGCACGAGGACACGGGGTGGGAGGGGCACCCCGTTGCTGAGGAGCAGCCTCTGTGCTGCAGCCTCGCCCTGGGAGCCCCGTGCACCGTCCTGTACATCATCAGAGCCAAGGAAGCTAGAAACTGCCTCCTGGTGGCCTCCCCACAGGCAGAAGGCAGTGAGAGTGGGCCGTGGGGCCTGTCCCCCCGGCTTCTGCCATGGCCTGGGCACTGCAGCTTGCTCAGTGACCTGCGAAGAGCTGTCCCGCTACAGGCAGAGGCCTCTGTTGGCCTCCCTCCGCGTTGAATCCACAGGCATCCATTGTGCCTGGCGCACAGCGGGAGCTCAACGGAGTGCTTGTTGAGTGAGTGAATGAATGAATGGAGGACCTGGGGGAGAGGGTGGGGCTTAGACAGGAGATAAGTCCAATACACTTGCTGTCTGAACTCTCTTTTTTACCCCAACTTCACTATCAGAATAAATAAACAGCTACCGTGAAATCTTCACACACGTGTGCCAGTGCAAGCAGTTCAATTGCACACGTGCTGGGCAGCAGGGCTTGGCGTGCATTGCAGGGGGCCTCAGCAGCTGTCCTGGCCAGCGTGTCTCCAACCGCGTCCCTTGAACAATCTGTGCATGTCGTTGTCATCGTCCCGCATCCCTACGTGTCTGAGGGGTGCTGGTGAGCTTGAGAGGCCTGGAAAATGTTAGAAGAAAAGTTGGAAGGGTTGAGGCAGACTGTAGGGGGAGGGAAAGAGGAACAT